ACGTTCACAAAAACAATAAATAAACAAATAAATAAATAAATAAAACAAAAATAAATAAACAACTACACAGTCCAAGTAGTGAAAGGCAAGCTAAATATCCCTACAGAACGTCAATGTGCTCCGCTGTCTCCGTGACAACAATGTGAGACAAAGTGTTCCATATTAACTGCCTTCTTGCTATATACCATCATCAATCACTGAAGAGAGCGTTTTTTATTGTTATTATTATTATTTTGCTGTTGTAGCGTTTGTTGAAGTCATCTTAGAAAGGCACACAGATATTTAATTTCATTCTCCACTGGTTCAAAGAAAGAGGGCTCTCTTCATCATACCTTTACACAGTGTCCCCCATTACTGCCGAGCCAGCTAAGACAAAAGCTCTCTATGAGTGGAGTGAGAGAGAGAAGGAGATAGAGAGAGAGAGAGACGTGGAAAAAAACACTGCATTCAAATTATTGGGTAGCTTTAAATGAAGAGCTGTTTATCTTTTCCTGCCAGGCAGGGGAATTCACTTCAAATAAGCGGAGCAGTGCTGACTTTGAGCTCTGGTCAAGCAGGACGACATCACTATTCAGACCCTCAGCAGAAACCAAGGCAGGGCAAACACAGCAAGTGAAGAAAAAAACAGCAGCTGAACTCTCTGCATACTCAACCAATTGGGCCACTGTATGGCCACTTTGCTAAAGGGCCTTTAGATTAAAATGAATCAACTACACCCACCATGGCAGCACACTAAGAGCGTGCTCTGGTACATATGGTACATTCCATCAATGACTGTATTCTCATAGTTGTTATAAATACATTATCACCCAAACTGCCAAGACATGGTCATGACACGAGTCCTAAACAGGAAAATGAATGTATGTTAACTTCACCTTATTCCTGGCATCTTGCACTCTCAACATTACTCCAATATAAAGCATCCTTCACCATTTGTTTTTCCACAATAATGTTGTTTTTGTAAAATGACTGTTTTACGGATTTTAATTAACAGCAGACCCAGACTGAACAGTTGCTGTAAAAGCTAGAAAAAACTCCTCAGTTATAGGCTAGTCTGCTTTCTGTTCCTATTCCATTGCCAATTCATTCCAAATCTGTTCCGCTTATCTTTCTGCCATCTCATACTCACTCCTTTCCAGAGTGGCTGTGACAAACACGTAGTCATAGACTCCAATATCATGATAATCGCTGAAGAGTAAACATTTTCTTGTGAGTAAACACACAGAAGTAAACATGGTTGTTTTCGGCTGCCTGTATGCCTGTATGCTGGGAGTGAGTGAGTTACACCTGCTGTTGTTTTCTACAGGCCAAAGGGGAACCGTAAGCCAGGGCAGAAAAACAGACCTGGGCATCAGAACATCCTGTTTTCAGCTCTCTATGTACCACACGCACACAGAGACACACACACACTCACAAACACACCCACACAAACAGAACTGTCCAGTTGATACCTCAGCCATGCTCCTGCAAGTTAACCACCTCAACATTTTTCATGTTTTTTTTGACTGTTTACTAATCCATTATTGCTAATCTATTTGTTTCTTGTCACAATTTGATTGTGCTTGCTGTGTCAAGTCTCAAAGCAGTATTACGAGCATGGTAGTTTTTTAGCAGCATTTTAGAAACCTATTACCTTCACTCTGATGCCTGTAGCTGTCAGTCAGAGAAGGCTAGAGCTTTTTCTTCTCCTTTTCTACTACCATCAATCATTCCTTCACATCAAGATTGACTCCAGTATTACATATTTACAAACATGGCCAGAAAGTGACCCCAGCCTGCTAATCATTGAAAACAAGAGAGATAAAAATACATAAAGGATCACTTTAAGCTTTTCTAATAAGCAGTCTGGGTTCACAACACACACGCAAACACAGAGAGTTCATATTCCTGTCTTTGTTGAGTATTTCCACTGTGTTCTGTATGACTGTAGCCAAACACTGCTTTGCTACACCTAACCCAATCTCAACCTTACCCCTGGAAACAAAAGAAGGTATTTGAGTAATTTTACATTTTTTCTTACCATCAAAGCATTCCTCACAGGGATTTGTCAAATGTTCCATGATATCAAAATAGTCCTATTTTCCATTATTCTGAGGACATTTGGTCCACACACACAAACACATACACACAGAATCACAGGCACACACACACATAGCGTAAGTTGAGGGGCAGGAGGGTGTCTTGGCAAAGCCTCATAATTTCAGGTTTTCTCAGCGGATTTAACACATTTCAGTAAAACGCTCTCAAAGCAGTTAACACATCTATCAGAACTACTGCACCTTTTCATGAACCTGTGGGAAACTGTGAAATGTGCACATCGTACAAATATAAAATCACTTTAGCATTAAGTCCAACAGTCAAGTCTGTATTCAAATTGTACACATATTCAAATTTCAGCAAGAAGTTACATCTGAAATGTCAATGATTTATTTTAGAATTCAATTCAAATTCATGTGAAAGTACATAAACCTCACTGAAGCAAATGCAATAAATTATTAATTATTATGTCTTGTGACATTCTCTGATACTCTGGTTAAGTTCTGCACTGATCATATGAGAGTCTACAGTGTTTGTCTACACAGAATTATCCAAAGAACAAACATATAACTACGACACTTGCACTCAAGGTGTCTGAGTCCACTGGACACAAAGCAAACGTTTGCCATCTCCTGATACTGTATAGCTTTAAAAGAAAGTATGGTCTCTGATCTAAATTCCTGAAGCATCTTGTCCTAACGCTGAGAAAAACTTGTAGAGAAAATATGAGTGAGCCATGCTGCCCCCTCCAGGTCAACAATGGAACTGACACATGAGGCACTATTAAACACTACACAGCATCTCAGAGCTGATTCACTGTACCTCAGGCTCTCATGCAGACCACAGAAGTCCAAAAACCATACACTCCTCTCCAGAAAAGTTTTTTCAATAGTTTATATCCATTCTTATTTTTAATACATTGAAGGAATCTTTGCAAAATCAGGCTAGTTTTGATCTCTATGCACACAAATACGTCGTAGACTGGCCATGCTAGATCAGATTCAGTAATATGACACGCCAAATAAAACCTTCACAACTACAGTAAACAGTTTCTCTTGAGGCACAGAATAACGTTTAATCTACATCTTATCAGAACAAGCGAAAGGGATGTTAATACCCTGACCTAGGCAATGGTCAGAGTACTATTTACTCAAAGTACTATTTGATCAACATGTACAAAATGTCCTCTATTACACGTAGAGGAAAAAATCCATTGTCCAGACAGCTAAAAACTCACCCCTTTTAAGACCTTGGTAAAGCCCTTTTATGTCAATGCCGGCTAAATGGGAGCTACTGTGATTGCAAACCAATCAGTTCTTCCTATGGCTCATGACCTGTGTACAGATACAGTGCATCAGCTGGAGCGAGTCTGTTTCGGACATCTCATGTCGTAACCTACGGCCCATGAAGAAGAGATCTTTCGAACGCTGAGGAGCAGTCAAACAAACAGGGCTTGTTCATCTCATTCATGCCCCGCACAGGCTTCTATTCATGCGGCAAAGGCATATGACCAAACTGTTAAAGATGTTGACCGCGTGTAGAGGACCATTCAGCTTCGTTTTTCAGTGTTGTAGAACAATTTTCCTTCATAACCATAATGAGCATCAAGCAGTGATGAAGTGTGAATGTCAAGTGGCACTTGTTAATCACAACCCTTCTGCAAAAGCATAGCTGTGGGAGAGCAGCCAAGGCTTAAAAAGTTGAAGTACATGTTGCTGAAAAGCTCAGACCTAAAAACTAACATGCTCCCTTTCGGTCTGACTGGCAGGCAAGCTGCTTTCAACCATTAATTAATCAATGCACTAATCAATGGCTCAATACACACAGGAGGGCAGTAATATATTTAATTAGCCAGGCACAAATCAATAAAGATGGTATGAAATGAAAAAGTGCCTATAATGGTGTGTATCGGTTTCTGACTTTTCTCTTCACATGCTGTGATAAGTAAACCAGGGACAAACAGGTGCTGTCACAGCACAAGAAAGAAAGAATAAAGAAAGAAGTGGAATTCAACCATGTTACAAATTGGCTTCAGGTGCTCATCCGACACTTTAGATGTTCTTTCAGCACTGAAGACTTTGCTGTGATATTAAATTAGTCTTATAGTGGTCTTCGCTGTCTAAAGCACCATGTTAAAGTAACCATACATGGATAGTGAGTCCACAGCAGCAGCGGGAGCAGCAGAGCAAGTGCTCTCAAAAAAAAAAAAAACCCTTTCATTTCACTACACAACGTGGTCACACTTATAAATAGGTCCAAAGCGCTGCTGGGACCTTGTAATTTACTGAATCACCATGTCTGCAGCCACTTGGATGCAGTTTTTATGGTTCTCCTACAGCTTTTACTTACAGAGCCTGAAAGTTTGGAAGTAGGCACCCACTTAAAACGTTCCGTTAGGCTGCAGAAAGCAAAGAAGCCGAGTCCAAAGATTAGCAGGGGTGGATTTAGTAGCACCGGTGTGCAAAATCTTGGTGCTGGATTAACGTTATCTCTTGCAGTGCTCATTCGTGTCCAGTTATCACTTTAGATGTTAATTCATTAATATGTGTTCGTTCAGTGCTCGAGTTTCTGCTGTGTATAGGTGTCTTCACTACTTACCGTTAGTCCGAGCAGGGCGTTAAGTTTCTGACACATTTTTGAGGAAACGCTGAGTCTAAGCTTACTCTCCTGGTTTGCTAGGCTAAAGCTCACGGTGTCGAGTTTAAACACATGAAGGCTGAAGGCTGAATGAAAATACTGCTGTAAAGATAATTAAAAACAATACTTTTTTTGCTGTGTAACTTGGTGTCTTGGGATATTGGTATTTTGACTTGGTTAACAGCGCAGCGTCAAGTTTCTGGCACATTCTCTGAGGTAAATTAACGTTAATTCAGTCTTAACTGTTGTTGTTTGCGAGCCAAGAGCCAATAGTTCCACACAGTTTCACGTTTAAACGCACGAAGCTTGAACAGAAATAGTCTTACCTTTAAATACCTGTCCTCGCACTGACACCAGGAGGCTCACGGCGGTGACGAGACAAGTGAAAACTTTGTCCATTTTTTGGCAGTTGAGCGCCCGTTAGCCCCGGCTGAGGGGCAACGCCACTTCAGACTCTCTTCAAATTCGAACGGCTAACGGCACTTTTGGAGATGTTTCTATCTCGTGCGCGCGCGCGCGCCCCTTCACTCTCTCGCGGTCTCTTTCTCTCCGTACTTCAGCGTCGCCTCGCTCCGACAGACTTCCAGATTTCCAGGAGGAGTCTGAAGCCCGAAAGACGTTGGTTCGCTCTCCGGTAGAGGGTGTGTTGGAGCTCGCGCGCTCCGGCCCGGTGTGTGTGAGTATGTGTGAGGGAGCGTGTGTGAGTGAGCGAGTGAGCAGCTCCCTGCAGAAGAGTCCGTCTCCTCCCACTGTAAGAGTTGGGAGCAGCCTGGGACTCTAAAAGCGGGATTAAAGCGCGCCTCCTCTCCATCTGCAGCATCATCCGCTGGATCCTAACGGTGCACGTACTGCCTATATTTCAAACTTTGCTCTCGCAGGAAAAGAGGTGGAATTTTTGCCAAAGCTGATGGTTGATATTGTTTTCAGGTGATATAGGGCATGAAAATGGAGTAGAAAAAGTATTGTCCGTACACTGTTTAATAATAGGACAAGTCAAAATGTATTGACTTGTGTAATGTAAATACAAAAAAATGTGTTTATTCCATTAAATAGAGTACAAAAACGTAGAGTACAAAAACCTGTGCTAATGGAGTGAATACATATCTTTTGCTGAACTTATTTTTACTTTATCTTCTTTCACTCCATTTTTTACACACCTGCAGTAACCTACTTTGTATGCTTTATGGAGAGCAGCAATAATCTTTTTTCTTTCCTTTAATACACGGAATAAAGTCATACAGGACAGAGTTTGACATATTGTGTTTGACCTTAATTCTGCCACAAGAAGAGCTCTTTTATTTATACCAGCAGAAAGGAACATAAACAAATGGCTGGACAAAGTAGGCAGGTCACTTCTAACCATGGGCCTCATTCACCAACATCTTCCTAAGTTTGTTCTTGAAAAAAGAAAAGAAAAAGTCTACGTCAGATTCATGATGTGTTCTTAAACTGCAGAATTGTTCACACCTTTGTGCTCTTGAGTGTGTCTAGATTCTGTTCTTATCTAAGAACAAATCCCAAATAAGAAAACATTTGTGAATGTCAGAATCTTCATGAAAACTGCATAAGTGGGTTTTAAGAAGAAATTTCTTCTTAAGAATTGTTGGTGAATGAGGCTCTATGTGTTTTCTCCTTAGGATAGAGAACTAACCCCCACAGTCTCACCCACAACCCAACACAAAATGAAACACATACAACATTGTCTCTTTTAATGGGGGGGTGGATTGCGGTCAGCTCAGCTTTGCATACCACACCTCTAAAGTCCCTTCTGAAACGCGGAGTGTGTGGTGGACAACACAAAGCCTATCCCCCCAAAAGTCAGCTGTCCCAGCAACCTATACAGTCCCTGTACACCACAAGTGCTGGCTGCAGGTGCCCCCAGTTCTCTCTCTGGGCCGTGTCCTTGCTGCAGGGGCCCCAACCATGGCTAGGAAATCTAAGTCAAGTGAGCACGCATCCTGTATGGGTGCGAGCCAGTACACGTGCATTCGTTGCAGATCCACCCCCCCGAGGACGACCAAGTGTCACTTCCACCCCTTCAGGTGGACCCAGCTACAGGGGGCTGACCAGAGCTGGATGTTGGCTGCCTCTTATCCATCTGGTGTGCCTCTCTCGGTGTGGGACCATGCCTGGTTGTAGCAGGGACATTGACAAGCCCATGTCGAGGAGCACAGTGTTGTTTATGCTGCACTCAACCCACAGTCCACAGCAGTCATAGACCCTCCCAGCTGACTTATGTTTTCCTGCCAGCTCAGTTTTGTGGCACTGTCGGGCACATTGTCCCCCTTGCTACATCTCCAGCACACCAATCACTCCATTGCCGCTTGCTCAGGGACTGCGCAGCATGTATGATCCTCCTTGAGATTGTCCATCACGCAGCGCTGTGTTGCTTACTGCGGTGCTTGCATGCTGAGGATGAGCTCTGACGTCCCCGCCTCTGTAACCGGTGTGAAGACTGACCGGTGCGGCAAGCTGCACGTGCTGTCTCAGCTCCTCTGGCAGCAGTGCAATGTAGCATGGGAGGCAGGCATGTCCCTCTCCTTCTCAGTGGGATCCAGTTCGGCTCCTCGTCATGCTGTTTCTTTCACCATCTCCACCGCCGAGCCTCACTGTGCTGTTTCTTTCACTGACTTCTTTTCCCTGGTCTTACCTTTCACCGGCTTGTCTTCTTCTTCGTTGTCCACATGTAAGTTCATTGAAGCACCGCTCCACTTCTTGCCAGTTGGCGGTGCTATCCCATTCCTGACACCAGTGCGATGTTGAATTTCAGCCATGAGAAAGACACAAACACAAAGAAGCAGGTAAAGCAGACAGGTCACTTGTAGCCATATGTTTTCTCCTTATTGTAGAGAACCAACCCCCACTACCTCACCCACAGGCCAACACAAAATAACACAATCAACACATTTCAATTAACTAATCAACAACTACAGTAACAGTTTTGTCTTTAATGGAATGGGAGTGGAGAGCATGGCGCAACTTTGCATAGCACACCTCAAAATAACGCGGGGTGTGGTGGACACCACAGTATTATAAAATGTGTTACTGTGAACCAGTGTGTTAGTAGTTATGGTGAAGGGCGTTAAGTAATGTGGAACAGTGTTGGACAGTGTGTTAGACATTGTGGAAGAGTGTTAGGTATTATGGGACATTATGTGAGGTAATATGTTGCCTTTTAAATATGTTAGGTGATACGTTACCTTTTCATTTCTGTGAGGCATTAATTTCTTCAGAATTCTGGTTTCTCTCACCACTGTTACTAATTCAGTAAGTTTCTCTAGAATGGTGCATTTCAAATCAAACCACTCTGAATGACGCTTTTTACATCTGAACAATGTAATTATTCAGAAATTTTGAAAAATCAGTTAAATTCCCTTAAATGGCCAGGAGCTGCCAACAGGATTCAAGCTTCCATTCCTACTCCTATCATTTAAGAATAATTCAGCCAGTTTTCTGTGTGGTTACTGGATAATAAGCCTTTGGCTGTTATAAGCCTGGGATTTTAAGGGGTTGAAGTGTACTATATTACCTAATCACCCACAGTATCTAATGAGACAATACAGACAGTTACACACATTGACAATAAAGATTTTGGTGAAGGAATAATATTATATTTTTATGCAAGGGTTGGATCAAGTAAAGGTTAAACAATACATCCTGTGATCCTAGGTGGCTACAAATGGGTTAAGGAGTTGCCAGGATGGTTTTTGAGGGCTCTTATTGTTAATGTGTATCTAGGGGAAAGAGCAGTGTTGGCTAGTGTACAATCACCCTCTCCATATATCACGCACACCATCATTGTCTTGTCTGAAGTCATTGTTGAAAAAAGTGTCTTAAGAGACATAGAATAGGTCCACATAATTAGCACTGAACTTAAACAAGCTTTATGACAGCCAGTTAAAACCACACTGAAAAACAAAGGACTCATTTGCAATCATGCAAAAAACTTGAATTAGCCTGTATCTATGTTGAAGAAATTCCAAGAACACCCACAGATATGTTGCTCACTCTGGAATTAATATGCGGTTTAGCTTGGAAAACTTTTACTGCCCTAAAACCCCCCAAAAAATCTCACCCAATGGACTTTTGGACTGGACGAGTGTTCGCAATTTCAAATCTTGGCAAGATATGATTAGACCACTGAGGAATGACCTTGGAATGAAGCATAAACACATCTACACTTGCGTACCCTCGCGCACAAGTGGTCCGCATAGAAACACCATACATTAATTTGATTGCATGGTTAAGATGTCTTCGACTAATTAGCTGTCTCTGGGCTAACATGCGCACCCCCACTCCTTCTCTCTGACCTCCCTGAAGGGGTCTCAGCATCATTACTTGATTAGCTGATTGGCGGCCATGTTTAATATTTGTTATCATGCAGTGCTGATTACTGTAAATAACAGGCCTGACCTTGGCAAGAACGCATCCCTGGAGCACAGTGTTAGCCAAGCAGACGAACTGTCCACAAAGACACAAGGAGAAGCATATGGCAGGGAACGGCATCTCCATAACAATAGAGCTAGAAGGGTATGAGTGATAGGCCAAGCGAGCCATTTGCATGATGTCCTTTCCAGTTCTTTCACTTCAAGGCTTTTAAGGGAGAAGGGGAACAGGGCATTTTTTGTAGTTACAGTGCCCTGTGAATAGGTCTAATGCATGTCCTCTGTACAGACTAAGTATATTTGTCTGGACTTTTCAAGTATGAATTGAAATTCTGTCAGTGTGAGCAACGTTGTGGGAATGTTAAGGCCTATTTTTGTATTTTATGTGTAATTACAGTAATTGAAATGTCGTTTTAGGATGAACCTGCTGTCTATTGGTGGGAAAAAAGTGCAGAGTAGTAACAGCAGCATACCCATAGAGGGCACCATTAGGCCTTAAGCACAAAAGTTGCATTTTTCACCCTCATACTGTAAAAATGTCACTACAGCAAGCTGTTCACTACAATAATAAGAACATATCATGACAAAATATATTATTAGTGAATTAGTGGAAATTTAGACTGATTGTTGATCAAGAGCAAAAGATTTGGATTCTGAAGGTATATGATTGGTCAAATCCAAATTACTGCATAATTCAGTCTCTGAGATGTAAACTAAGTCATTCGAGGTTTGATGTGAATTGTAGAGAAACTCACCAACTCAGATTTCTTAACAGCCGTGCTGATAGGAAACAAGGGTTGCAAAGGCTACAACCAAAATATAGTCATTTTATTTACTATCCAAAAGCACATATCTTCTGAGTTTTATATGTAACACTGGTTAAAGGTATGTACAGGTAAAATAGTGGTAAATCTGGAAAAATATGTTTTCTTTTGCCTTGCAATGCCTTACATGTACCTCCCTGCCATGTATGACTCTTAAAAATACATTTCAGGGCAAAACCTTCTCACAAAAGTATGAAAAAACAGTCTCTCAGGCATCACATAGCGTATTCGTAACCATTTCAATTAGTAATCAATTCCCCTTCAATACTCTCACATCAGTCATTAGCAGTACAGGATCTTGCAATATCTCTATTACACAAATTTAATGTTGCTTAGCCTCATAGGGGATTTCTACTGATTTTTCAAATGTTCTGTATAATGAAATCATTAAAAAGTAAATAAAGTCGTTCAGGGTGGTTTGATGAGAAATGCTCCGTTATAGAGGAACTTACTGAGTTGGAATGGTTTACAGTGGTGGTGATATGAACCAGACGTCTGAAGAGTTTAATGCCTCTAAAAATTACC